AGTGCACCTTAAACCAGGCATTACCCTGAAGGGCATGTCGCTTTCCCTTCCTCCTGCCTGCACAACCCTCGACCAACATGACCGATCGGAATGGCAAGAGTTTCTTCTTGAGGCTTTTTTTTTTAAACTGGTCCAAATAGCGATTCATCATAGTGACAAACAAGTAAAACAGTTAACTACCGCGACCGCTGCACCTCTCCATTCATATGGCCCCTTATCGACATCCGAAATTAGCGCCCTATCTGAATTCGATAAAAAGAAACGCCATGACCTCGAAACAATCAAGCTACGTAAGCTACAGCGCGATAAGGTTCCTAACCCTGTTTTACCTCAGCTTACGACATCATTTAACTATAGCGAACATACTCAACCGGCTATTAGCATAACAGACGATAGGTAAAGCTAAAGTGCCCTTCGTGGCAGTATAATTGTTAATATATCTGGAGTGACTTTTTTTACAGAAGATCAAAAACTCCTTTCGAAAGGATTGAACTTCTGCCTCGCCACAGGTTTTGTTGACGAATTTCAATTACTACGCAACCTCGACAACTTTGCTCGAAATTTAAGATAGCGGGAATACTTCTTGGACAGAACTTCTAGCTCCAACCCCTCTCAGCCACGTTCAACTAGCGACTGGACGCCGAAAGCTAACTGTAACGATTGTCTTAACTTGTACATAGCCGCAGTGCAAAAAGAAGTAATGCGGGAATATCGCAGGCAGGCGGGACAACGGGATTACCTCACTAATTTCGAAAGGGCTAGCTTAAATCCCCTGAACAATAGGACAGGCATAACAATAAAACCAGCCGAATCATATCTCGTCACACTCGTTGTGTCATCGCTGTATACGATTATCCCACACGATGATGGAGTTATTTCATTAATTGACATGTACGAACTTTACAAACAACCGGACACCCCAGATTGACACGTCGTCGCTACTCTAGCGAGGCTTGTCTTAGAACTCAACAGGTTCGAATTGAACAATAAATACTTTAGGCAGGTTAGCGGAACCGCTATGGGCACCAAAATGGCCCCGAACTATGCCAACGTATTTATGGGTAAATTAGAGTTTCAGTTCCTTTCTGAATGCCTCGTAAATCCGCTAATATACAGAAGGTTTATAGAGGATATATTTATTGTCTGGTCGCACACTGAGGAGGAGCTGGTGGACTTCATAGATCGATACAACGCTGCTCGTTCGAGCATCCGCTTTACACATTCGTACTCTCAAACCATAATAAACTTCTTAGACGTCACTGTTAAAATAGACGAAGGTAAACTCGCCACGAGCCTGTACCGTAAGCCAACAGATCGACAGCAATACCTGCATTATCAAAGCGACCACCCACACCATTGCAAGAACAACATTCCTTATCGCCAAGCTCATCATTTCAAACGAATTTGTTCCAAAGAAACAGATTTTGATGCGAGCAGCGAAAATTTAAAGTCAGTGCTAGAGAAACAAAAGTATCCACCCCGTATAATCGACGATGCAATCAGAAAAGCCAAGCAACTGAACCGAGCAGACCTTATCAGCCCGCGCCCCACGCAAAGCGACACGCAACGCACACATCTGTATCTAAGTTATAGCATGAAGCATCCTAATGCGAATAATATCTTAAGACAACATTATAACATTCTCAAACAAAACGAGCGCCTTAAACACGCGTTTCCATCCGCCCCTGGGGTAGTCCACAGACGATCGCGCAACCTCGAAGACGCGCTAGTAAACTCTCGGATGAATTCATCGCCGCCACCTAACGAACGTATGCCTTGCATGCACTCAGGGTGTCTGATCTTTAAACAGATGCAGCACACAAACACTGCCAGCAGCACGCACTCGCAGTTCTCGGTCAAAATTAAAGGGCATCTAACATGTGCCTCGTCAAATGTCTTGAACTTACTCGAGTGTACCGTATGCAAAATGCAATACATAGGGAAGTCTAGAACGGCATTTAGACTGCGCTTGAATAATCACAAATTTCACGCCATAAATCTTCCGACACTGCCGCTATCGAAACATCTCCCTCTCCCGAAACACTCGATTGATAAATTGTCAGTGACGCTCCTAGAATCTGGATTTAATTCAAATCGCGAACGTGAACAGCGTGAATCCCACCTAATTTACCGATTCAACGCAATTAAACAAGGAGTAAATAAAAGCCCCGGCACTCCTATATCGATTAAAAACGCTATCAGACGAATAGCAACAGCGAACAGGGGCCAATTTTTCTGGTCCCAGATATTATTGTTAGCAGTGGTACTGTGTTTGTGGCCGGAACTGGATCATCAACAGGTTTTGATATTTATTTTCTTTCCCTTTATTTCTAGGTTTAACATTGTACCCTTCCAGGTCTGACTCATGCATGCCCCACAGAACCCCCTAAGTGACCGTGCCGTTTTTTTTTTTTGTTTTTTTTTTTGTGGCAGCTTTTAGGTTTGCGCGTGTCGCTTTCGTTTATTGTACGCTTTCGTCCAGGTCACCCCTGCCCGCCCGGACACAAAGTCATCCTCCGCCCACTGTCAAGAAACTCCAACCGTCATCCCGCCGTTTCTGAAACTTGGACTTGATCGTAGCATTGTATAAATACTACCCGCGTTCATCTGTAAAAGTTCTTCTGACGAAGGCCGGACTCCGGCCGAAACGTCAAAGAACAAACCGTCCATTGTTGCTGTTTTCACCAAGGGTTTTCTTCTTTTATTATAGGAATTGCCCGTGAACATGTATTTTGTTTTTGAGAAAAATTTAAAATTCTATATATGGGTGATTTGATGTCATCTCAGGCACAAATTTTCGGTCGAATTTTAAATTTTTCTCAAAAACAAAATACATGTTCACGGCCAATTCCTATAATAAAAGAAGATGCAAACGGCGAGTTCGTCAGATTTTTTGTCCTCGAGTTATGGACCGTTGAAGAGGCCAAGGTGGAAGCTGAGAAACCTTTGTTGCGATCGACAACAATATTTTGGGTGGCAGTGCAGCATCTAAAAGAAAAAAAGAAGCTAAGGGATCAAGGCTAAATAAATTAGTTGCTGTCCGGCCAGCAGGGTGCTTGCGCTTCGTCCTCATGCAGAGGCAACTGCTCTCTGAAGTCGGTGAATGTGTGTGTGTATGTGTCTGTGCGTGTGTGTTTGTGCAGATAGTCAGTGTCCTTGCACTCTAAAAGAAGTCTGTGCGTTTACTTTCACGCACAACACTTGGAAAGCCAATCAGCGCAACTTACGGAGGCAGCTCAGCAAATGACGGTGCCGAAAGATCTATTTAGACCAAAAAACGCAGTCTGAGTTGTGACATTAAGCAACGCAAAACGTCACGCCTGCATTGCTTAATGTCACAACTCAGTCTGTGTTTTTTGGTCTAAACAGATGTTTCGGGGCATTGTCATTCGCTGATCTGCCTCCTTAAGTTACGCTGATTGGCTTTCCGAGTGTTGTGCGTGAAAGTAGACGCACAGACTTTTTTTACAGTGTGTAGCAGTCTCTTGGGTATCCTTATGCTGCTACAGTTTAAATGCCGACATGCTTCACAGATAATGTTTGTCTCGGTGTCACAAAATCTACAGAATCTAACATGCACGTGTATAATTTTTTTCAAGACTGATATTTGCAGAATTTATGGATACTAAGAGGCTCGTTTCGCAGTGTTCAAAGGTGACCAGTTTCTTATTTACGACTCTCTTCTTTATTTTAAATGCAAGCAACTTTAAATATGAAGCTCGCATGCCCACTTTCCTTTGTGTAGACAACTTGTTTTGAGCCGCCCTAATATACCTGTGTCGTTTCGCAGAGTCGGTACTGTCGAACTACATCACCGTATTGCGGCAACGCTCAGGTATTACGGTACTATTGTTGCAAATATAAAGTTTTCACATGATAACATTGCAAAGAAACAGGTCAAAGGTGTTTTTTTAATGTAACAACCAGATAGTTGCTGCAAAACAAGTACTATATTTGAACAAGCAGAGGGCATTGAATGGCTGAATTTATACAGATATATCACAGGTCTAAGAAACGTTTGTGAAAATATGTGCAATACATTTTTCACAAACAACAAATACAAATATGTGCAATACATACAAAAAGATCACTATTATATAATTTTATTACTTTTATACTGCTGTGGCGATTCGGGTCCCGTGACTGTTGCATTAGGTGTCCCTAAGAGTAGTGTACTCTGGCCTCTATTGTCTCTAATGAGTATCAGTTACCTACCATCATCAATTAAATCGACAATTAGGCTTCGCTGAAGCTTGAGATATTTACCAAAATATTAATACACCTTATGATCACAATATTGTCCAAGACGATTTAGATATGTACCCTATGGCAGATGAACATTAACACTCGTAAATGCAAACAAATGTGCCTAACTTAGTCCTCCAGTAAAAAGAGTAACCAAGTATTCGTTACTTTCACAACCCCTAGAACACTCGTCGTCGTACACGAATTTGGGCGTGTATTTTACAGACTCATTATCATGGAACGAGAAAATAATAAATAGTGGACTAAAAATACTTGGATTCATTAGATGGACATTATATCTAGCTCCCATTGAAACAAAACTACTCGCGTACAAAACATTTACCCTCCGATAATGAGAATATGCAAGCATACTTTGAAACCGCACCTGAATTCCCTAATCTCGAGGCTCGAATCTTCAAAACAAAGCAGCCAGAGTTATATACAGTGAGTATTCATTCGAAACTAATGTCCCTGCTTTAAAAGCTAACATAAATATTTCTCATCTATAAAGAAGACCAAAAACAGCCTGATTGCGTTTCTTTTTTTTTTTTTTTTCAAAATGTATCTTTCTCAGATTCCGATTTTCAATCTACCGTATTTTCGCGATTCTAAGCACCCCCGATTCTAAGCACCCCCCCCCCCCCCCCTCTATCTTTCTCAGATTCCGATTTTCAATCTATCGTATTTTCGCGATTCTAAGCACCCCCCCCCCCCCCCCCCCCCCCCCCCACGGGAGGCAGTTGGCGCAAGTCTCTTCACAGGATCACGTCCAGCCCCCCGAACGGTTCTTGCAGTCGATTTGTGATTTGACGGAGGCGGCAGTCCACGGCTCGCAGTTGGTCGGCAGACATCATGCTCCCCTCGTCGGTGATCACGCACTTCACTCGTTGGAACGCAACGCGAAACGTGTTCAGCTCGTTTGGATTCAGGCCGCCGTCTCCGGTCGTTCCAATTCGCTTGCGAGACAGTTTGAACGCCGCGTGCGCGGTCGTCCCACCCACTGCCACAGCAGCCTTGCCGGTGCTTGCGCAAATCACGAACGCGTTGTAGCCAGAGTCTTGCCGACTGCCGTAACGGTTGTATATGTCCATGGCAAGGCGGAGAACGAACGTCTTGCCGCAACCCGCAGGACCGGTGAAGAAGACGCGCAACGGCGGGCTGGACGGACTCGTTTGCCTGTGAATGATTTCGCGCAGCAGCTCGTACTGCTCGGCGTTGGTCATGCGCATTAGACCCTAGTACTCGTCGGTGTCCATGGTGTCTTGCCGTCTGCGCACCGCCGCACACGGACTGGCCTTTTGCATCAACCGCGTCAAGTCATGGCCGGGCAGTAAGTCGGCGTCGACGTCTTCGCCTACGTCGACTACAACCACGCGGCCCGATCCGCAGTCTTCTTTGCGCTGCTGCTGTTCTTCTCGTTCTAGCGCCTTGTAGTGCTCATCGATCAGTTCCGCCACGGTGACGTCGTCGGCAGGGTTGTATTCCTTGCGTTTGGTCAGAATGAGCTGCGCGTGCTCCTCGTACAGTTGCTTGTACCTGCCGTTGTCGAGCACTTCCACGGCTTCGCTGAGAAACGGCGCGTACAGCAAGACTTGCTCCCGCATGTACGAGTCGATGTTGTCGGACGGATTGTAGGTGCGGTAGCGTATCACGATCGGTGGATCTCGCAGAACGTAACGGTTGTCGCGACCCAGCCTGTACTTGCTTGCAAAGTCGGCCAGGCACACCCCGTTCAGGTCGGCTTGTTCTCAAGCTTCGTACTTCTGGATGACGTTGCGTTTCCAAACGCCGGTCGAAGACGCACTCAGCTTTGCGAGCTCGTCCTTGGTCTTGCGCACTCGCACGCGTTCTTCGGAAAAGCAAGTCGGAATGTACACGACGTTTCTACTCTTGTGAGACATGTCTTGACGCAGGAGGTACCACGCAGCTTCTTGCGCAGACATTTCCACTCCCTTTAGCATGTTGATTCCCAGCATGCGTAGAACGGTTTCGTAATCCATGTCCGGATTCTCGCCCAGAATTGTGAAGTCGTGAAGGTTAGACATGCCCTGATCCGCTTTATTCACGTAGTCGACGACGTACGTAGCGCAGGCGTAGTGGTCGGTATCACTTGCAGATGCATGTTGGAGTCGAGTACCTTGCCTATCCACGGGTTGAACGCGTTCACAAACTTATGCGCTGGTGTTCGTTTGTGCAGGACGCAAGGTCTCGAGAGTCCGGCGCGTAGAATTGCCATGTACTCGGCTTCGGACCCGGCGTTGAACTTGCGCAGGAACACGTCCACGGAGTCGGAACTCTCCCACTGCCAACGCCTCGTGCATTTCGTTGTACTCGCGCTTCAGTCCTTTTCGTTTCGCTTTCTCCGCATCGCCGGCGTCGTCTGCTAGCGGAGGAAACGGCACTACGATCTTGGTATCGCTAGGCATGAGCGGAGCGCCGAACCTACATTTGGTTCGTCGGCGTTTGTAGCACGTATGCGTGTGTGCATGCGTTTGCGTTCGAGGGCGTTTCAGCAGAGAAGTGTCCAACGTTACCAGAGCTTCGACCATCTCCAACGTCTTTGGCATGTCGCCGCAAAGCTCTTCTTCGGGAGCGTTGTCAATCCACAGGATCGTGTGGATGTGTGCGCTACCGCGTTGTTGAAACTCCACTCGCTTGAAGTAATCGACGACCACGTACGGCCTGAACGGAGGGCAGCGCTTGTCTCTCAGGATGTCCATGATCAAGTCGAAGATCCGATGAGTGTAGATTGCGCACGCAACCGGGTCGTTGTTAATGGCTCTCCGATTACGCGAGCACGACCTTCCGGACCCACGCGCAGGCGTTCAAGCGTTTCGAGCAGTCAATCCCAATGCAGTTCGGAAGCGGAGAGCGTCAGGAAGAAGTGAGGTCTGCCCAACTGTCGGATCATTGCAAAGAGCTCTTTACGTCGGTCTTGCCAGTACTGAACCGTGTTGGGAATTCCGCGCATGAACGGCCAAGTCCCGGTTCAGCACTTTGTCTAGGAACTCGCGTCCGCGACTCTCAAGTGGTTGTCGGGTAAACGAGTCTGTGATTGCGTTCGTCCGGAACGTCATGGTCTTGTCGGCTACGTTGAACCGCATCACTTTCGTGGCCATGTACAGCACGTGTTCTGGCGTCACTCCGCGTCGGTCCGTGCGTCTAATCTCGCTGCTAGCTTTGACGAATGGCGTTGGCCGAGGTCCCGTGATCGTGCGCGGAATCCCAAGGTATATGGTGGGAAACGCAAGCTCCTCGGCGTACTCGTCGAAGAAGAGCGAGATCGGAACCTTGTTCTCTCCCGGAGCAACGTGCAAGCTGTAAGTGTTGTCCAGGAGTATCCGAACGTCCTCCTCGCTTCTCACTCCGACGTCGTCGTACACTAGCGTTTGGCTAACGGCGTTCAGAGCAATCACCGCTTGCATGGGATCGTCCAAGTCTGTGATTTCGGGTAGAGCTTCAATGTCGTCGTCGTTGCACTCTGCGTCGTCCCCGTCGAACTGGTCCAGTCGACTCCAGTCAATATGTACGTTCACGTATCTGTAGAGAGGAGTCTGCTCCAAGTGTTTCAGCCAAGCGTGGATGTTGCTGCGCTTGACCAGACCGGCTTGTATACGACGCCTTGCTCACCAGTCTTCTCTTGATGTGAACGTCGATCGCCGCGTCGTCGGGAACGTTGCGAGGCTGGCACTGAACGAGCGTTGGAACTTCGATGGGAACGTTCACGACCTGGCCTTTAATTCCGTACTGTCCGTTGCCATGCGTCAAGCGTCGAATGCTCATGAACGGGATTTCGAGGAGCGATGAGCCGTTCTTCCACCGTGTTCAACTCAGGTAGATGGTCCGGTCGAGGTGGGTAGCGGTAGCCGTAACTCACGCTCATCGCAGGGACTCGACCCGCGATCAACGAGTCTTTACACGACGCACACACAACGTAGTCGTTGTAGTCAGTCTTGCTCTTACCGTCGGCGCTACTGTCGTCGTCGTTGCTGGCGTCAGCGAACTCGTTGCAAAGAACTGACAGTGCGTTGGTCCGATGAGTTTCGTTACGGATGTTGCCGATGCGCGTGAGGTTGTTATCGAACCAAAGTCTATCACACACCTTGCAACTGTGCCCGTAGCTCCGGTCCAGGAAGTCACGTTTGAAGCGAGCGTCGGGCTGCGCGTGCTGCTTGGCTCGCGCCGCCGCTTTCGCTGCGCGCTCGCGGTCGCGTCCAGCATCGGGAGCAGCCTCCCGTTGTTGACGTTTACACGCGGCTTCCCGTTGTCGAAGGTCGGGTTCCGCCGCTCGCTTCGTACGTTTACGTTGAACTCCACGGTCCCGAACCTCAGGTTCTGCTGCTCGACGTTCTCGAACCGCCGCTGCTTCACGTTGTCGTAGTTGAGCATCCGCCGCTCGACGTTGACGAATGGACGCCGCTTCTCGTTGCCGTAGTTCAGGGTCTCTCGCTCGCTTCAAGCGTTTGCGCTCAGCGTCGCGTGCCCTTCGCTGCGCAGCTTTGTTTTCAGTGGACGTAGCGTTGCTGTTAGTTTGTGGGGTGGTGCTGACGGTTGCTTGCGCTAACCCACTAACTGACGGGACTGTTGCTTCCATCACACTTCATCGGAAGAACGGAGTGAAGTGGAGTCAACAGCGGGTGAACTGAACGCGCGCAGCGCGCTACCGCTGCTTATATTCACACTTGAAGGAGAGGAGACTAGAGGAGGAGAGTTCCGCATGCGCGCGCGGTGTGAGTAGAAGCGAACGCACGCGAAGTGCACGCAGCTGGTAGGGAGAGAGACCGGAGAGAGTAACGCGCAGCAGTTGGAGAGAGGGAAGGAGGAGAGTTGCGCATGCGTAGTGTGAGTGCGGACTACGACGCCGACGCCGCGGGACACAGACCCGAGCAAGAGATGCTCCGCATCTAAAATTGAGGAAAGATGCTATCCTAAACATTTCTTTTTTCGTTACCTTCAACCATGAGAGTAAACCACCACTGCAAGGGAACTGGAAATGTTAATGGTATGTACAACGTCTCACAATATATATATATATATATATATATATATATATATATATATATATATATATATATATATATATATATATATATATATATATATATATATATATATATATATATATATATATATATATATATATATTCTTCAGTGAGACACGTTGCATCAGTTTTATTATACAAATTTGATGCACAAACTGATGATTTTGGTTGCCTCCCTAAAGTCCCCGAGGCACCCCTAGCAAAACCTTAATAGTACGCCACAAGGTAGTGCCCACAGTACTGAAACATCCCTAGGACAGACTGCTGCAGCAGCCGCAGCTGCTCTTTAGTTTGGCTGTCCGATACTGTTTCGTGGTCGACCGAGGCCTATCAACCACTAGTGCCATCTCTGTCCATTCTAGGAGTGTGTGTCCTCCCGAGGGCCCCCAGCTCGGTCCAAGCGGAGCTTTTTCCTCGGGGCAATCTGCCGCAGTGACCACAGTTGTTTGTGAGTTTGGCAGTCTGATACTTTTTCCAGGTCAACTGAGGCTCACCTGCCACTAGTGCCGTCTTTGGTGATTCTAGGCGAGTGTGTCCTCCTGAGGCCCCCCACAAGTTCCAAATGGTGCTGTACCGAACCTAACTTTCCCAGCTTCCCCAGAGCAGCCTAATTCGAAAACCCCACCCCCCCCCCCCCCCCCCCAAGCTGCTGGTGAGTTTAGTACAATGATACTGTTTCCAGGTCGACCGAGGCACACCTACAACGACTGTTGTCTCTGTTCATTTATTCATTCTAGAAGTGTATGCCGTCCCATGGCTGCCCGAGCAAGGTCTGAGCAGCGCCCTACAGGCCCTTGCTTCTCCAGCTTGTCCTGGCCATATTGCCGCAGCAACAACTGATGAGTTTTCATTTTCGACTGCGGTTTATTTGCTGGCAGAGTGCAGACAGTTACACACTGTTATTTACATCCGATCTTACTATCTCACTGTCAGCCACTTAAGAAGACTAAAGTGATAATCTTTTTTTTTTCAGGCACACTGTTTACACTTGGTATCAGGCAGTATCATCAGAATGCCAGTTTTTCTGGTGTACTGATGAATAACAAAGAGCTACAAAGAACTATATTCAATGCAGATAAAACTGATATTGGCGCAATGACAGGAGTATCAGTTGCAACGTGAAGAGAACAATTTACAATTTGGACCTAAGCGCTTTTTCGTTGCAGATCAACTTAAGTGTC